CCAAGTACATTTTGTTTAACTATTTTTAAAGCACAATGCTGTGCAGCAGCACTTTCTGAATGGCTGCTAATTGCTTTCTTAACTGGCCTTTTCTTTCTAGTGTGCAACGGCTTTCAATTTTCCACACTCTAGGTTGATTACATCATATTTAAGTTTTAGGGCCAGGAACCATATTATCTTCTTACTAATATAAAGCACTTTGTACACTTGTGCGTGCCTAAAATAATATTCTTTTTGGCCTTCTTATGCAGAAGGCAGCTTGATAAGCTGTTTCTAATTTTTCCTTCTAAATTCAGTATTCATTTGAGCACATAGTTCTGTAAGAGTGCTGCATAACCTAGAATTTTCAAAGCGTTTAGCTTTCGTCTAAAGTTTTGTCTTAAGTCAATGAAAATTTAACTATTGACTTCAGTACATTGGGCAATAGAGTTTATCCAGTACCTTGAATGTGACATTCCACTGCCAGTATTAGAAAAGCAACTAGTACAGAAGAGTGCCATGCTGAATTTAAAAGCTGTTCTTATATCGTTTAGAAAGTATCTCTTACTCCTTGTTTTATATGCATCTCTTATGATTACATTAGTTGGTGTTGTGCTAAAAGTGCATATATTGCTTAGCTATGTCAATGTTGTTTATTCAGTATAATTTTGTATGCGTACTTTTTGCTTTTTAAAAACAGTATATGGACTGTTAATGCTTTTTGTAAAATTCTTAATGAATTTTTCATAGGAAGCCCATTTCTGCTTACATTAAACAGGAAAAGACAAATAACATCTGGCAAAGGGAAATCATAGCTATTGATTCCCTGACATAATGCTAACACAGCTCACAAACATGGCTGTGAGAAAAACACAGCACTTGCTTGCTGATACAATGTATTAGTTAGCCATTTGTTGTATGTTGCTGACAGCTTTATGGATGTTTACAGTTAAGGATGATGCTGAAGTGCTGATACTAGGAATTGTATAGCTTTTGCCTGTAATAAAACAACCCAGATTTTATGTAAGTTTCTCAAGGCTTAACCCCAGCCGGCAGCTCGGCCCCACGCAGCCGCTCGCGCCCCCCCGGTGGGATG